TACACCAACGAACCAATCAGGTGAGGGTGCGATCATGGTAATGAAGGACACGAGGGGATATTCCGAGTTGACTTCGATGTCAGTGATGGAACGGCTTCCTGTGCCACCAAAGAACCCGTTGCCTCGGTATCTCTTATGGGCTTTTTTCAAATTTATCTGAATGTCCATTTCTCGGAGCAGTGCACTTGAAGAACCTGTAGCATAAAATATGATGTATTGATTTAGCCAGGAAAGAAACTTTTAACTGGTGAATTACCTGCCTTAACCGTTGGCAATAACCGAGTCAGAAATGGCTCCCAGCCTCTATGTTTAAGACTGTTTCCCACGGTCACCGTGAGCACCATAGTTACATTCAGCTGGGTATGTGGCGTCTCTCGTCCCTCCGCGTATGTGGCGTCTCTCGTCTCTTTTTCGCCGCTGCCTCATTACCCTCTAACGCCGTTTCATGAAGCACAGAAAGCCTCTGTTAGCCACAAACAGAAAGCCTCTGTTAGCCACAAGCAGAAAGCCTCTGTTAGCCACAAGCAGAAAGCCTCTGTTAGCCACAAGCAGAAAGCCTCTGTTAGCCACAAACAGAAAGCCTCTGTTATCCACAAGCAGAAAGCCTCTGTTAGCCACAAGCAGAAAGCCTCTGTTAGCCACAAGCAGAAAGCCTCTGCGGATGAGAAAGGTTCAGTCAACTAATCAGTCTGTCGGTCATTCATTCATTCATTAGGTCATAAAGTCTGTTTGTCAGTCAGCTAGTGAGCCTGTGCAGGTCGTACTACAGTATAAGCGCCCTGCTTCATACAAACATTTTATATAGCACCTGGGGACGAGGTAGATTCATGATAACAAATTGCTGACAAATTATGGCCTAGGTAATGGCGTGTATGACGCAATAGACCTTACCGATTATTCACTTTTACCCAATGGTCTCGTTTTCATGTCAAATTCTTAGTCCTGTTTTGTGCTTAGTAGGGTTGAAAATTACTTTGTTATTGAGCCTAAGAACAGCAAGAAACAAATTCGTCCAGGAAAACATAGGAAAATAATCTTTATCTGCCCCTGACATGCTAAAATAAGTTGACATGGAAACGAGGCCATTGGGAAGGAAGTATGACTTTCCCATGAGGCAATGAGAGGCTGTGAGGAGTGCTTGGCGACGCTTTATCCGTCTCATCTCTCTGAATGTTAATTTAAGACGAGTTTCTCGTCTAAACGGGATTCCCGTCGGCTAATTCATTTATACAAAGCATGAAAGACGTACCAATACGACAATAGACGTCAGCTTATAATGATGTATTAATGATTTAAATTAGACTTCAAAAGGCTGTTAATGACTTAGACATACCTAATTCTGCCACATCTTTAACTCCTGTGGTCGCTTTTATTCCCGGTGTCCACATCACATAGGAGGCCTTATGACTACAGCCTACGAGGGATGAGAAATGTGGGTCGCTTGGAAAATTTTGATGAGATTGGCGTGTCCATTCCGCTTGGAAGGTTAACGTATATCTCGCTGTGCCTTGGCATTCAATAGCTTGAGTAGACGATACGATACTTGCGAAATATACCACGCTATACCACAGAACGAAGGCTAACGCCATTCTTAGTTAAAGATTGTAAGCTTTGAATTGTAATATATCGATCAATTTGTCACTTTTGTGTCTTTAACCAGTGATACACAAGACTAACTAGGAAACGTTGTGACCTTAATTGCAAAAGTGGCTTATATAACACTTAGTAATCGACAAGACTAACAAGGCACTTGGGTACACTCTTAGTTTCGATATGAAAACGGAAGCTGTAGATAATTGCGTATATTACATTGCACGGTCTTTGTATTCCTACTTTGTTGCTATAAATTCATAAACATATCGTCATTGGTTTGTGCCAGCAGACCCCCCACCAAATACACCCACGCATACAGACAGAGCGAAGCATCGAATCAGTTGTTTATGAAATATCAACTTAAAGCTGTATTATCTTGTTGTCCCAGCATTATATTTTGACGTAGTGGTGATCTTCAATACACCCTTCTGGAAAGTACTTCGCTACGACCTCGTTTCCGTGTTTGTGACATTGGCTTTACAGCTCTCTTGTTACAGATTACAAAATTATAAACAGGTCTTTCACAGGTCTTTCGTAACTATGTGTCAGCTGTAACAAGATAGAGGGCTCTAAACCCAATATCTCAATCACGAAAACGAGCCTCTTTAGCCATTGTAGTGTCTCGGTTAGGGTTGGATTTAATAATTAATATATCTGAGGATGCCTGGATCTAGTTTTAAAACTCTTAAAAGCTCAGAAAACATGATATTGCGGGTTATTGTAAATTTGCACGAAGTCATGATGTCACGTCTTCATTTTATTTCATGTTCTCATTATGTATAAAGCTAAAGAAGGGGAGAGGGGAGGGGGGGGGACAAAGTTTGCCCGACATTAGATGGAAATTGCCCGACACATTCAGGCGAGAGAGCGAGCGAAGCAAAATAGGCTCTGCAAAGCCAGGGCTGGGTTGATTGGTAGAGGATTAGAAGGTAAATATTAATTTTAGGGGTGTTAGTTGGGAAGAAAATCCTGTATTCACTAATGGTGAATTTTCAACTACATTACTACTACATTATATCAATTATGCACTGTATATTAATCACAAAACGAACGTTATTCTACAATATGTCCAGGTAAGAGATTAAGTATCCATAAACAATATGTATTTAGAGAGGTATTCCGTAAGGAGGATTTAGGCTTTCATTTTATACCATTCCTTTTCATTTACCATCTCTGTTACTATCTTTTATACAATTACTCGAACTTTATTACAGTTGTGATGTTGGTAAAAATTGCAGCATGAATTATGTCAAAAGTGTTTTCAGGTTTTTGAGAACAAGTTCTCTTAAAAATTATTTGTTTACGATCTGTTTATATTGGTTCTTAAAACATGTTTCTAAATCGTATATGTTTGTGCAAATATTTGTAAAAAAACTACAAACAGAAATTTACAAGGATCATAGCAAAAACTGCATAGCCAAGCTGTTTAACAGAGCATGCTGCACTGGTGGTGGTGACGCTTGGTTGGCTTTGGTTGCTTGGTTGGTTGGTTGCTTGGTTGGTTGCTTGGTTGGTTGCTTGGTTGGTTGCTTGGTTGGTTGGCTTCGATGAAGCGATGCTTGCTTGGCTTGGCTGCATGGTTGAAGGTGGCTTTATAGTAGTAATTGGGTTGGAATCATTATAGGTCTTCACAAAAGTGAAAGTTCCAAATCTCCTTACGGGTTTATCGCCTTTGAACGATCCTTCTGTGTTGTTTGTAAGCAGATGGATATTTTCTTTTGGATTTGTTCTTTGATCTCGACTATCAAAGTTAGGTCCACTGTCAGTGCCTGCATCATAGGGTGGCAAATCTCTTGTTATCGAGTCTAACCATTTCCCTGTTGTCGTGTTGCATAAATTATAGTCGTGTACACCAACGAACCAATCAGGTGAGGGTGCGATCATGGTAATGAAGGACACGAGGGGATATTCCGAGTTGACTTCGATGTTATGGATAAGAGTGGTTCCTGTGCTACCAGAGAACACGCTACGTTGGTATCTCTTATGGGCTTTTTTCAAGTTTATCTCATTGTCCATTTCGCTGTTAAGTACACCTGTAGTACCTGAAGTATAAAATATGATGTATTGATTTAGTCAGGAAAGAAAGTTTTAAAATGAAATCAGAAAAATATAAGGAGAATTTCGACGATTCGAGCGATGGCCCTTCGTCTGGAGTCACTAAGACCGCTATGACGAACTCACTGACCTTCGCTCGAAACGTCGAAATCCTCCTTATATTTTTCAGGTAGTTGCATCCCTTCCAACGAAAGCTTGTTCATTTGATTGACACTACCTACACTGGCAAAGACAGACACTGACAATTCATGGCCCAGGTTATGGCGTCATCTAGAAATTATGACCTTTCCGTGAACTTTATCCATCTCATTTATCTCTCTGAATGCGAATTTTAGACGAGTTTTTCGTCTAGATCGGATTTTGTCGGCCAGTTCTTTTATACAAATCATGCAAGACATACCAATTACCAATACAATCAATGATATACAGTATTATTGCTGCCGAGCGTAGCTCGGCAGCACACTAATCTCTACACGTGGTGTGCTTACCACGTGACCGCCGAGTTTATAGCTGCTACAATCTCGATTTATGTCATTCTGTCATCCACGGACGGGCCAAAACTAGCTGTTTTGATATTATTTTTTTGTTCCCGGGGGGGTTTGTTCACAACATGGCGACTGTTATAAACGGACAGAAATATAAAAATCATAAAATAATGCGAATTTCCATAAAAATTCCGAGTAATATTTGTGAAGATGAATGGGTAAATAAAGCACGGTGTTATTTTGTGTCTCTGGCGCAAGAATGATCGACAATATTTTGAATAATTCAGGTAAGGATGGCTTTATTTCGTTCTCGTATAGTGATGTAGTCGTGCCGTGTGCCCTGTCTACCTGTCTGGTGATATATTTTATAATACATGAAGGCATTTATATTTAAATCTGCTGTTTATACTTGTTTAGTCACTTTAGTGTATTGAACTTCGATATAGAGGCATTGAAACAAAATGATTTCAAGAATATATCGGCAATTATAATACCCACTGAATCACTGATCTATTCCCGACCAAATCGACAGTAATGATTAATGCCTTTATGCTGATACAAGAAGCAAATGAACTTTTAGTTTATTTGTTTGTTATGTCACTTAATATGTGCAAAGCCAAAGGCGGTGAGTATATAATAGTGTTCGGTACGTTCTATTTCTAAATGTTTATAGTTTAAAAACAAACGCGGGATGTTGTTAAATCAGGCTTAACAAGATTCCTAGAGCTACCCAGTGTGGATTGTTGTCTGCATATATGGACTTATCAGCAATTACATGTAATATAGCATATCAACTGACTTTTGTATAAGATATGACTTGTATAAGGCCTCAGTTATATATAAAGCCTATAAACATGATTCTACTGACATACATTGATATATACATATGGCTGTGTTACCACAATAATGCTCACAACTTCAACTTCTTTCTAACAATATAGTTTTGCAGTTCTGACTGTTCTGAGTATGATCTTATTCATTCAGAAATATAAGCATTGCACTGTATTCAATGGCAAGCTATCCTGGATTCCAGAGCCTTCAGTTAATAATAAATTGAAATATTGTGAAGGCTCTGGTTCAACGGGAGGATTCTTTGATTAAACTGTGCCAATCACAAAACAGAAAGAGCAGTTTTAGTACAGATTTTGGGCGTGTTAACCCATTAAGCGCCAGCGCTCTCCCCTTGACGAGTAAAATCGTCTGGCGTTAGACAGAGTAAAATACTCTGGCGTTAGACAGAGTAAAATACTAAAGTAGGGTACATCAGGGTGCAATGCGACCCAATGGGTTAACTAGACACATGGGCAGATAGATCAGTTAACCCATTAAGAGCCAGCACTCTCCCCTTGACAAGTAAAATCGTCTGGCGTTAGACAGAGTAAAATACTGTTCAAAGTAGGGTGCAATGCGACCCAATGGGTTAACTAGACACATGGGCAGATAGATCAGTTAACCCATTAAGCGCCAGCACTCACCCCTTGACGAGTAAAATCGTCTGGCGTTAGACAGAGTAAAATACTGTTCAAAGTAGGGTGCATCAGGGTGCAATGCGACTCAATGGGTTAATATAGCACATAACATAGGTCATAGACATACAGTTTCAATACAATACAAAATGATTTTGAACAATGTCAAGGTCAATGAAATCATACAAAATGAATTTATGGAATATCAATTAAATGTATTTAAAACAAACATAATTTCAACATCCCAATAAGCAATTATAACATCCCAGTAAGTATAAATTCAACTATTTTAAATCAATTGTTTGAATAGCCAAAGTAAAAGTTGTATGAGTGACAAAATCATTCAATAATATTCACATTTTATCATTTATATTATGTGTCAACTATCAAAGTCGCACTGTTAAGTATATTAAAATATACTTTTCATAAGATTAGATGTAAGATATAATTGTACGAAGGTAACTGAGGAACGACGATGTGTAAGACAATAAATCATACATACAGTGAAAAACGCTCTTTTTGTAGCACATCCTACATGTACATATCGGCAGCATTTTCCTTGCGATAGTAACTCCTAGTTCATTTAAATTAGACCCCCAACAAGGCTGTTAATGACTCAGACATAGCATATTAGTAATATTTGTATAATAGTTACTGTAAATAAGTTATGAAAAGCCCGAAATGGGATAACTAATAAAAATTGTATACCGTCTTCTGCCACATCTTGAACTCCTGTGGTCGCTGTTATTCCTGGTGTCCACATCACATAGGAGGCCTTATGACTACAGCCTACGAGGGTTGAGAAATGAGCGCCACTTGGAAAATTTTGATGAGTTTGGCTTGTCCATTCCCCTTGAAAGGTTAACGTATATCGCGCTGTGCCTTGGCATTCGATAGCTTGAGTAGTCGACACGATACTTGCGAAATATACCACGCTATACCACAGAACGAAGACTAACGCCATTCTTAGTTAAAGATTGTAACTTTGAATTGTAATATATGAATCAATTTTTTACTTTTGTGTCTTTAACCAGTGATACACAAGACTAAACTTGGGTGAACTATGAGCTTAATTAATCTATGCTATGAGTTTTGATATGAAAGCGGAAGCAGCTGAGTTCCGCTGAATATTAATCTTAATTAATTATTAATAGGCAATTTTTTTCAATGTCACGTATTTGCGATGAAAAGTGTTCAAAACCTAAAATATTTTTGGCGTTCCTCTCAAAATTATGTTGTTTTACCTTTATTCTCTAGTTTATAGAGTTAGCTACCTTTTTAAATGCATCTGCCGGTTGAGAAACATAAAATAATAGTAAAAATTGTCAATTAAAATACAATTACCAATGATGCTTTAAAATTGACGCCATTTTTACAGTCATATAAGCAAAACTTACTGAACTTCAGACATCATTTTCTCTTTGGCGTATCATCTAAAATCTCTTCATTTTAGCATTATTTTACACATAAAGCACTAAACATACTTTGTAAGTTTGTTTGCCGATTGAGAAACGTATCGAAAAATAGAAATTTTGAATTTAGTCATAACCTCAATTAGTTCTGAGCGCGTGTTACGTAATATACAAAAAAATCTCCTCTTAAGCACAGAATACTACACAGAAGTCCATCTCCATTGTTTTTTGCGTAAGCGCTATTCGTCATGATTCGTCACTCGGCAAGTACCGTAAACAGAAGCAGTCACCCCCCTGGACGTTCGCCATTTTTAGTATTTCCAGGGGGGGACTGCTTCTGTTTACGGTACTTGCTGAGTGACGAATCATGGCGAATAGCGCTTACGCTAAAAACAATGGAGATGGCCTTCTGTGTAGTATTCTGTGTCTTAAGCAAGCGACGTTTTTGTAAAACACGGACCGGACTGGACCGGGAAAACGCCTACCTCCTCCGCAGGCCATACAGCCCGTAATGAGTATGCCCGTTCGCAGGTTGAAATTTGAAATTTGAGACGAAGGCTTGCGTAGGGAAAACGCGGTCAAATCTCAGTTTGCGATTTGTAAAACACGGACTCAGTCCGCGTCTTCCCAGTCCGGTCCAGTCCGTCCTTTACAACATGCCCAGTTCGTATGTAAACAAAGCCTTTGTTTGACTTGTTTACATTTCGGTATTCAAAATATTAAACTTTATTCGACAACTATTTATATTTCATGCTTCTACAGTATAATAAATTATCATGATACAACAATCAGGCTTTGCAAGAACATAAAATGAAATACAAACCTAATTAAAGTGTTTATATTATGGCCGGAGACTCCTGTGTGCGCATGCGGAAACCGGACCGTACCCTATCTTTAACTAATTTTGGCGGCATCGGGTTAGGAAGCAAAAACTTTAAGAATCGTACGTTTTGTCATATTACGTCTATTAACCGTGGTCATATGCATTGAAGATCACCACAAACTGACACAAACAGTTTTCAATCCAGTCCCCCATCGGCAATCTGGCGTCCGTGTTCACAATCTCGTTCCCAGAGCCTGCGATCCTCGGGAAGGAACGTGAGGCTCTGGGATAATCCGTTTCAGGGAGGAATCTGATTGGCCGTTGATATGGAATGCACAGTTCATGATCTTAGCCAGTGTAGCTGGCTTCCGGCAACGGATTATTCCAGAGCCTCACCTGGAGCCTCACGTTCCTTCCCGAGGATCGCAGGTTCGGGGAACGAGATTGCGGATTGACAAAAACATCGTTTAAGCACGCTACTATCTATGGTCGCAATCCGGCAATCGCTTCACTACTTCGTTGCGTGGCTATAATGCAAAAGGGGATTCCACCACAGTGAGTTCCGTTTCCATCACATACACTTTATACAATCTCCTAAAACAGCGCGCAGGTAGTGGTATATGGAATATAGAAACTGAGATGTTATTTTTCAGTCATGTTAATTGTTCATGTGGAGTTTTAGGAAGAATTGTGATTTTTCACAATATGTAAATGCATTTTCTTTTTCGCTGCCATGTTGGATGAGTGAATGACAAATATATCCAAGTCAACCAACATGGCGCAGAAACAAAAAATTTTGTGGTTAATTAAAAGCGTTTTTTGAGGTTTGCCGTAAAAAATTGTGTTGAAAAAGAATATATACATGTTGTTGGGTTTTGTACCGTTGCCATCGCTCTTTCTCGAATACGAAGCACAACATACAACTTTGGAGTTTTACAAAAGAATGTATTTAATAATAAAAATCACACATATATATATACAAGATTATATCTATAATAAGTATTTTGACATATCACATTCTATTACCATAAATGGTATACAGTTTGGTACATGGAGCAACTATTTGTACTGGAATTTGTGGTATCCAGAGATTACATTTTACATACATATCTATAGTAATCAATGTCATTCATTAACTAATAATCTTATTATCATTGTCAACAGAATATCAGGAGCATATTCTAACACCCCCCACTTGCTCTTATGTTCTGAGCATCTATATAAATTACATCAATAATTTTTTTTTTTAATTTCTAATATATTTGTATTACGCAGCGCATTTATAAACCTAACATGAAGTGCTTAAATTTTTCTAACTTACCTTTGCTAGCTGGCTTTGTGAAGACGTCAGCTATATTGTCCTCAGTAGGAACATATTTCAAAGTTATGGTACCTACCTGTATCTCGGATCTTATAAAATGATACTTAATATCTATATGTTTCGACCTTTGATGGTGTACGGGATTTCTAGCTAAGTTTATAGCTCCCTGATTATCTACTTGAATAAGTACATTATCATCACTTATACTTACCTTCATGTCGATACATAATTGTTTCAAAAATTTTGCCTCCTGTACGGCATTTGCAAGCGCAATATATTCTGCCTCGCATGTAGAGAGTGCAACTGTTGGTTGTTTACGGCTCTTCCAGGATATTAAAGGACCTGTTGAAGACAACTGAAAATTATAGCCAGTTATACTCCGCCTGTCGGCTACTGATGCGCCCCAGTCGGAGTCACAAAATCCGTTCAACCTTAGCGGAACGTTTGACTTCCTAAATGTCAAACCTTGCTCAGATGTACCCCTCAAATACCTTAAAACGTGTTTAGCCAAGTCGACATTGGCTCTTGTGGGCTTAGACATTTTCTGTGAGAGCTTCGTCACTATATAGCACAAATCAGGCCTGGTGCCTGTCATAACGTATATTAAGCTCCCAACAATAGCCCTATACTCACCTGGGTCTTCTAAGCTTGGTGATTCTTCGTCTGAGACCTTCTCGATACCTAAAACACATGGAGTAGGCTTGGGCTTGCAATCAGCCATCCCAAACTTCAACAATACTTTTTCAATATATTGTTTCTGATTCATTTCGATGCAAGATTCCTTGCATTTAAACTCTGTACCTAAAAACCACGATAGCTTACCTAGGTCTTTCATTTTGAACCTTTCACCTAAAGATTCTTTTACAGTTGTTAGTAATTCAAAATGACTGGCTGCGATAATGATATCGTCAACCCATACAATTATTATAACACATCGCTTCGAGTCAATCATTCTCACATACACACATGCATCAGCCTGTGACTGAGTAAAACCCTCCTTTTGCAGATACTCGTGTAATAAATTATTCCAGTTTCTCCCACTTTGCTTTAAACCATATAATGACTTATTTAATTTACATACTAATTTTTCACCATTCTCACCATGTTCCTCAAAACCTTCTGGTTGTTCCATATAGAGCTCACAATCTATAGGCGCATTAAGGTAGGCGGTCTTGACATCCATTTGGTGAATGATCATGTCATTCTGCACAACACGTTGTAGCAATGTACGAATTGAGCTCATGCGAGCTGTCGGGGCAAACGTTTCCTGATAATCAATCTCAGGAATTTGAGAATACCCTTTAGCTACATATCTTGCTTTATGGGTTTCTTCCCCATTTTGGCCGATTTTTACAGCGTAAACCCATCTTCCCCCCACTATCTGTCGATCTATTGGTGGTGGGACTAACTCAAACGTATTGTTATCGTTTAATGCGCTTACCTCTGCATTCATGGCATTTTGCCACTTGTTAGCCTCCAGCGATTTTATTGCTTGCTTGTAACATTTTGGAATGTCTACAGCCCTAAAGCAATAATCAACAGTGCGGTTAACATTGTCGTCAATAATAGGCTGATCAAGATACCTTGGTTTG